GGCGCCCACCATGCCAGCTGAACAGGTTCTTGCAGAAGCCACCCGCACGCTCAATCATCGAGAGAGCGTCAGAGGTTTCTCTCCTGTTCAGTATGTTCTTGGCCGTGCCCCTGACGAACACGGACGTTTTTTTTCCAGTGACTCGTGACCTCATCACACCTGGTGAATTGCCCATGGCAACAGAGACCATGGAACGTGACCAACAGCTACGCCTAGCAGCCGAAAAGGCCTTCCTAGACTGGATGGCTAAGGAAAGAATTCAACGAGCCACCCATTCTCGACATCGGCGTGTGTTGGATTTTTCAGCAGGTGACCTTGTGTTCATATGGAGAAAGCAGTTGACTGGAGAAGATGCGCAACAAAACAAGTCCGGACAAGGCCGATTTGTCGGTCCTGCCCGCATCCTAGCAGTGGAACACACCCGGCAGGAGAATGGACAGCTCAAGCCAGGAAGCTCAGTGTGGCTTGTCCGTGGAAGAAGACTCCTCAAGTGCTGTCCCGAACAACTTCGACATGCCTCTGAACGTGAAGTCATCTTGACGGAGCTTCATGATCCCAAGGAAAGTCCAACCTGGGACTTCCCCATAGTGGCAGAAGAACTGGGAAACAACGACTATGAGGATCTTCGTGAACAACCAGAGGAGACTGAATGGAGGCGAGCAGCCAATCCATTACATGAGTGGCAACCATCATGCCGGGTGACCGGCAAGCACCGACCACAAGAGCCACCCATGTCCAGTCTGAAAAAGTCTCGCTCAGAAGCAGTCGAGGAAGAACCAACCACAGGACACACACCAGAAGAGTCAAGCCGCGCCAGAAGCCGCAGCCCTCCATGGAGACCAGTGGCCTCAGGACCATCCTCCAGTGCCCGACCTAACCAGAGGTCAGAACCAGGAGCATCCGGATTCATAGCGGCAGCTCATTGGACCACCCTGGTCCATGAGTCCTATTTTACAGAAGAAGCCGGAAATCCAGACCTCCAAGACATGGTATACACTATAGAGTTGGAAATGCCGACCAGCAAGGCCTGCACCACTCGGGCCATCAACGAAGCCTTCTTTGTGGGCGCCATGAAACGAAAGGCAATAGAGCTGTCAGAACGAAAGATGACTCCTGAAGAACGAAAACAATTCGATCTTGCCAAAGGAGTCGAAGTCACAAATTTCTTGTCAGCAAGAGCCTTTGAAGCTCTCCCCCCTGACAAGCGAGTCAGAAGGGAGGATGCGGTCCACATGAGATGGATTCTTACATGGAAGCTCAAAGAAGATGGCGCCAAGAAGGCTAAGGCAAGAGCAGTCCTGCAGGGGTACCAAGACCCCAAGTATGAAGAACGAGCAACACACTCACCTACCACAACGCGGCAGACACGACAGATGCAGCTGCAAATAGCCGCCTCCCTTGGTTTCAAGACCAAGAAGGGAGATGTGACTGGTGCTTTTTTACAGTCCAGACCAGCTCATCTGCATTCCTTGTCCAGAAATATGCGCTGCCATGGGCCTTGAACCTGGCTCTATGACACGTGTTCGGAAAGCATGTTATGGCTTGGTAGACGCCCCGCTGGAATGGTATAGAAGTGTTTGCTCCTTTTTCAACCGTCTAGGGCTGAAGTGTTGCTGGAGTGACCCTTGCTGCTGGACACTCGTCAAAGATGACAAGCTGCATGGAATCATTTCCGGCCACGTGGACGACTTTCTGTTCTCAGGTCGGTCAGACGACCCCCTTTGGCAGTCGATAGAGAAGGCCATCAAGGACGAGTTCAAGTGGAGTGACTGGGAGGAAAGTCGTTTTGTTCAATGTGGTGTTTTGATTGAAGAAGAAGCCGATGGTTCATATACCCTTTCACAAAAGCATTATGTGGAAGAAATTCCAGCCATCAACATCAGAGCATCACGTCGCCGTGAGAGGAATGCACCCACGGATGATTTGGAGAAAACACAGCTGCGGGGATTGCTGGGTGGTTTGAGTTGGTACAGCCAACAGGTGGCACCTCATTTTTCTGCTGACGTGAGCTTGATGCTGACCGAAGTAAGTCAGAGCACAGTCGACACATTGTTCCATGCCAACAGACTGCTGGACCAAGTGAAACACATGAAGGAGCACAAGTTGAGAATTCACAAATTAGATATAGAAGACATAGTTCTTGTTTCATGGGTAGATGCCGCCAACCAGAACCGAATTGGCGGAGGAAGTACCCTTGGAGTAGCAATAGGAGCTGCTCCCAAGTCCCTTTTGAAAGGCGAATGTGTGCCAGTGACATTTTGGCATGGCAATCCTCCAAGATTCAAAGAATTTGTTCCAGCCCCGGTGCCAACGAGGCCCTAGCGGCGGTACATGGAGAGGATTTGTTGTACTTTTGCCGTTTTCAGCTTGCCGAAATGCTCGGCTATGCCTTCAGGATTCAAGAACCAAATAGTTTGGTCAACAGAATCCCAGGCTGTCTAGTCACAGACAGTCGAAATGTGTACGATAAACTGAAGACCGAAGTCTTGAGCCCAAAAGGTGCTGAACGGCGGATCGACATAACCCTCATGAGGTTGAAGGATTCACAGAACCACAACAACCTTCAGGTCAGGTGGGTTCACAGTGAAGCTCAACTTACGAATGGCCTCACTAAGGGACGTGAACTAAGGCAGCTCCTGCTCTTTTATGACATGGACCAGACCTGGAGAATCGTAGAAGACCCCACTATGTCATCGGCACGAAGGAGAAGACCCCAGGGACAAACACCACTTGAGAACACTTACAGCCACAGCACCACCACTCCACACGTGGCCTAGGGGGTTGCGTTGTTCGTTCGTGGTTTGGGTTTCCGGTGGTCCGGGTTTTTGTTGCTTTTGAAAGAGGTTGCAAGAGATCAGGTGGCATGCAAAGAAACAACCATTCTTTGGACTCCCTTCATCGAGAGTTGATTCACGGAGCTTGGGTTCGAGGGAAAAGCATCGCATTTTGACCAATCGCTTTCCGCCATTTGCCATCGTTCGTGATCGATTCCCATCCATCAGTGCTTGAGACCTCCGGCTGCCGTGCATATACATATATATATATGCAGAAGAGAAAAACGCGAACTGCAAAGTGCAAAAAGAATGTGTTTCTTGGTGAAATCCGTGGTAGTGTAATAGAGTCAAGTGGCTTCTGCCGAGTAGCAAGGTGTACTTGGGTATTTAAATATGAGTTTAAGCTGTGGCGGTGCCAGGATAAATTTTCATCAATGGTGGTTTGAAGGGGCGGTATTCTTTGAGGATTGTAGCAAGAGCATCAGCATACGGTAACCAAAGTCGGCGATGAAAAACCGACATATGGGCATTCGAAACTTGATTGTTGCAAGCTAATTGCCCTGCTTTGCATATTTGGGCAGAAGTTGATGCTTTGAAAGAGTCTGAAGCGGGGTAGCAACATGGCGAACACTTTCTGCCCCGTGTGATGATTGTCAAGTCGGAAGATGATTGCCAAAATAGGCCACATATGCGACCGTAAGTTCATACCAAGTGATGCCGGAGTCAAGAACTTGTCCCACAGAAGAGGGTGTAGCTGACAAAGAAATTTCCATACTACTAGTGACAAGAAACTACTAGGAACAAGGGCATCGCTACTAGGAACCCGGGCATCGTTACTAGGAACAAAAAACTATGTACTAGCAACAAGAAACTACTATGTGTGTATTACCTTGAAAAGCAACTCGATGCCCCCAGCACGAAGCAACTGCCTGGCAGAATGAAGGGAGGGGTGTACTACAGGAGGTAGCACACTCGGAAGACTGCAATTAAAAAAATGTTTTGTCATATGGATCATCCTGTGGTGCATCATCCTCCTTGGCCAGAGTAGAGAATGAGTTAGATTGTTGAAGGTTGAGTGAAGTCCGTAACTCATCCATAACCACAGCTCGGGTCTCATCAAGATCATGTAGATGCAAGTAAAGCAGCCTGAACGTCCAGTCTTGCAACTCCTTTTGGCTGCCTTTGCGAAACGGTCGTTTAGCGATGACATGGAAAATTGGCAGTGCATGGCCAGCGCCGCAATGTCTGCGCATTCATTGCCCAATATGACCACCAAATCAGGTTTAGACTTGGCTTCAGTGTATGGGCGATGTTATTTTACCTTGCAGATGAAAAACCGACTGAACTCCTAATGCCACATTATTATGATCTGCTAAACATTGTTAAACGAGATCTCAATGTGGCACCTTGTGTGGTTTTGGAGTCATTTGTTAACAGCAGTAACGATGAATGAGGTCTATGACATATTGTGAATCTGTGTAGATTGCAACCTGACGATTATTTGGTGAAAATGTGCGGTCGTCAAAAGCACGGCAACTGCAAGATTTATTGTTTGTTGCCCGGGTGAGCAGTGCGGATGACCTTAAAATTGGACCGGCTAGGGTTGTCTGCGGAAGTGATCTGTTGTACAACTGCCCTACCCGACAATCCCGTCAGGGAATCGGTTTGATCTGAGCAACTCCCATTTGCATGAAATATAAGAACAGTCGGTCTTCAATAATAGTAGTAATGGTGTCTGATGACCTCGTATTTTCAAAAAGAAGGTGTCAACATTTTGGAGTGGAAAGCAGTGACAAGATGTGACAAGATCCTGATCATTTGGTACGCTTCTACTAGGCGCGAGGTGCTGACATTTGGTGAAGTGGTGACAGGTGACTTTTTTTGGGAGCAAACATGTGGCAAACAAAAATGACTGAACACCGCCGTCAGCTTAGCATATTAGCTTTGACGCAAACGCAATTCTTAACTTGCATGGTGATGCTGCTTTTCGGCCAGTTGCATTTAGTTGCATTTTGTTTTTCCTTGTCACTTCCTGCTTCTTGAGTGGGCACCAGAGAGCACAGAATTGCCTACCTGGCCTACTGTACCGAAACGAAACATGGCAGACGCTTAGGGACCCAGGGTTGACATTGAAGGTGATTGAAGCAAATCTATTCCCTGTTTCGCATGGTCCTCTCGGTTCAACTTAGACACTTAGCAAGATGCTTTGAGCGCGGGGCTGCAGAGGTGGTGTTTGAAAAACTACTCAGACAAGAGCAGGACTGAGCTTGGAGACTTGAACTTATTGCAGGCATGTTCAAGATGCCTTGGGCATTTTCTTCGCGGACATTGTCTCGCAACATGTCATACATGTGTGTGACTTAATCGAGCAACCGACCCAACAAAAGCTCCACTTCTGTCCATCAAGATATCTTCTTCTCCAAACAGAAGAGTCGGTTTGCATTTGTTGGGTCTTCTCAATTGAAACAACGCAAGCTGCTACTTGGAGTTGGCTACAGCGGCCCAGTTGGTGGTTCCAGGAGTTTCGAACGGATGACACACAGAGGAACTCCTATCGCATTTCATTGGCCCGGGCTTTGTGGGAGGCATGCAGTTTTTAAGTTTTTTCATGCTCAAAGTTACCCAGACACAAGCTCAACCTGCAAAAGGTGTGCCGCAGATGTGATGACAGCATATTAGAGTCAGAACTGAAGTCTGCAATAGCAGCCAAGGCCAGGTCGAAATCGCACTTCTGGCGGCAACTTGCATATTAAATACGGTTCAGGACTCTTGACCATTTTGAAAGGCCTTCACCTTGCGTTGGAGCACTGACGCTGAAGTGAAGACAGGTGAGGTCGCAGTGAGATGGAAATCCCTTGCAACGTCATATAGCTTCTTCTCAGGCTGGGAAGCTCTTTGGGGAGAGCCAAGTGCCCAGCAAATCTGCGCTGGCCACACCCAATCAATCCAATCATTTTGAAACGTTTTGACAAAGATGATTTCCCCTCATGAAGATCGATTCGTTGCTATGTAGTTGTGCACATATTCTGCAGAGCTGGCTGTTTCGGATCAGTGAGTAGACGGCGATGCTGCTACCGTGGTGACTTGGCGTTGGCAGCACGCAACACGGATTACAGCAAGGTGCATCATTGCAGCATGTCGTTGAACGATATTGAAAGATACTGTTCGTTCGCGTGAAGTTCAAATAACATGACAGGTGAGGTGACGGCGGATTATGACCGATGCCTCAGAGATAAGCCTGAGGAAGAAGCCCAGGTCTGAAACCCAACCACTGGTGAATGTGATTTTCACAAGGTAGTCGCACGTTTTGAAGGGATCCTTGCTACCCGTACTACAAGCAGGCAAAAAAACACATTGAGAGGGATGGCATGCAATTTGTGGCATTCCTTTCGGCAGGCTGAGAGATGATGCTTCAGATGCAGCTCCCTCATTTTGATTGATGAACAGCCGCTTCTACATGGATCCTACAGAGTTACGTCTCTCGCGGTACATAAAGCAAGTTACCACTCTGTTTCTGTGTTTGATGTTTTCAACCTCAAAACACATTCTGCAGAATTTGAGTTTCTATGCTAGCCTGTGCAGGGAGACGGATTAACAAAGTATATGTAAAAATATACAGCAGCACAGCACGCAAACACATGCAAACACACTATGTACATTATGTACCCAAAATCTCCCTCGGACCGGTAGGGTCGTGGCAAATTGTCATTTTGCACTCATTGCTGGAATATCATGCATTTCTTTGTTTTGTTTTGTGTGTGTGTGTGAAGCGTCGGTGTCTTGCAGTCTCAGTGTGCAGCCTCGACCTCATTTTGCCAATTGCACAAGGCTAGCCCTCAAAGTTTGAAGTGCAACCCTGAATTCCTTTTACTTTTTTGTTGTGGTGCGTCCACAGTCCGCCTGAATCCAAGGGAGAGAAGTCCGAAACGGCGAACATACCTGACAGCCTAACGACAGAGCTTCAGACCTGCTCCAAGTGTGCACGTTTTTTTGCAAGACTTGCTCCAACATGAATCGCCCAAATGAACCTCGACAGATCACCTCGATTCGCATCATCTAGGATCAAAATAACGTGCCTACTCACCTTTTCACCTTCGCTTTCAGGGTCATTCATTCCTGCACTCCTCCTGGTCCTTTTCGGACCGTTCATTGACCCGCACATCGGCCCTAGCTGTCTGTCTGACGCCACCACATCGCGGATCTGTGTGGAGATGATCCAGTTCAGTTTTGTAGAGCACCGAGGTCTCATCATAGCCACGCTGTCCTTGTGTGGCTCTTTGGCAGCATTGGCACAACGTGATGCCCTGGATTCACCCCGCACTGCGAAGGCCTCAGCAGCGGCGAGCCTTGTGGTGGTAGCATTTCCCTGATGGAGCGAACCAAGCCTGCCACAACTGGTTTCTCAGCACCATTCTTCTTCCTCCCCTTCTCACCACAGGCAACTCCTGTTACGCCTCCATTGTGGCCACCAAGACGATGTAGCCTCTTCCTGCCCAAGCCGCGATGCCTGGACCAAAACAGTCGGTGCCTCATTCCAGGTTGGTTGGGCCGTCCACCATCTGCGAAGCCTCTCCAAGACCTTCATGGGCACCCCGAGGATCATCAGGGCGCCAAAGGCGGCGAGGATGATGTTCCCGTCTTGTGGCTCCGTCCAGTTCTCTGCTGTGTTCTCCTTGATGGCGAACAGTCACCAAGCGCATGGCGTGGCTAAGGTGATGTTCGTTCCCACATCCGCCATGAGATCGCGCCCAGGCTGCAGGCGCCGGACTCCAGTTTCCATCGCAGATGTGCTGCCCGGACTTTCAGATGGCCGAACGGGATCGACACTGTCGCTGTGTTGCAACTGCCTCGATCACCTCAATCAACTCCGCCTCGGCTGTCGACAGTGCCGGAAACGGCTGCTTGTGTGAGCGCCAAGCAACTGGGTGCCGCCCAGTGTGGCAATGACCACGCCATGGCTTTGAGCTGCTCCTGGCGAATAGGACGCATCGCTGACCGACTCCAGGATCTTGTTGGCTCCATGTCGGAACCAAAGTCCAAGTCTATGGGTATAATTGAGATGCCTCATCACCTGGTAGGGTGTCCCCTTCGCCCATTTTGGGGCCGGGCCTTGCTGATGGCTGAACAGATCCGGCTAATCAAAGAAGTTCTCCAGCCAGCTGCTACGCCTGGCGTCTTGCCCATCTCATCCTTTGGTTCTTGACTGTCCTTCATGACTTGAGAGCTGGCCGCGTCTTCCATGGAGTGGCACCGCAAGACAGGTAGCTACTGGTTAGCGAAGAGTCGCCATTCTCCACGCGGCTGATTTTGAGGCCGCACTACCTCACTGGTTCGCTACAGTACGACCCACGCTGGTTCAGACGTTTCCAAAGTTTTTCGGAAACCTTGCAGCCCGTCGTCTACATATGGACCAAGGCCAGTCCGATGACCTCCGCCCTGTCATGAGTGTCTTTCTTTCTTTATCAAGAGCCGAAGTTTCTTCTGCAAAGCTCTGGAACTCAATGTCAGCTTCCTCAGTGCGAAGACTCGTGATCTGGCTGATCTCAATGTTCCTGCAATCACCCCACAACTTGGCAGACTCCCTCAATCCACATAGAGCACGCTCCGCTCAACAAGCTACATCTCGCCCTCTTTGACCAGGCCCAAGCTAAGGAGAATCTTTGGTGGTTGCATCAAGACCAACCTCTCTCGCTGTCCGGTTCTTCCCCTTCCAGCTGGGTCTTTATGCTTTTCAACCTCCTTTGTCTCCTCCTGCTGTTCTCCTTGATGTCTTCCATGAGCATCCTCCATTTTCTTCCGGCAATCCTGAACTGTGCGAAATAGAGCGTTGAGAAGCGTGCAGGCTTGCAGCGTGCCATCCCTTAGACGCCGGCAATCCCAAAGAGGTCCGCAGGCGCGTAGTGTCAGCCCCACCGGCATACAGTTGAGCTGCTTCTGACTTCTCTCCTCCTCCACGACCTGCCCCCCTCAGGGCAGCAACTGGCTGAGGCACCAGAATCAAACAAGATGCTCAGTAATATGAATCACTTTTGTGTTGGCCTTTTGCAAAGTGAGATGGCACAGTATTGTCCATGGGTCTGCGTGGAATTTCCCAACCAAAGTGGCATGCGGCAATTGTTGCTGTTGTTGTTGTTGTTGTTGTGGTTATAGTCTTTGTTGCTGTATTTTTTGTTGTTGCTATTATGAACTGTATGTTTACACACTATATGATATGTACATGCGCATGCTGGCCCCCAAGGATCGACCTTGGATCAGTTTCTAGTTGCAACAAACGACAAATGGCATGTTAATGTCAGAAGGTAAGGACTTTCTGTTTTAGATAGCCGACAATGTCTTTGAGTGTACGAACTGTCGTATATTTACAAGCGCCTGGAGCTAGTAGCTTGCCTTGAGCATTTATTGCTGCAAATCTCGGAAGAAGCCTTTTCCCCATTATAATGACCATCTTGCTAAGGGTCCCATCCTTTCTACAATGCTGCCCTTCGAAAGATTCCACTAAGAAAATAGCCTTTTAAATTATTGGGCCTCTCCTGTAACAAGGGCCTCGCCCTGTAAAGTCTACTGCACCACGGAAAGAACGCCACCCTCCAAACAAAGGTTTTACCACGTATGGTCCATGGGAGTCAACCCCCAAGGCTGGGCAAAGAAGTGTGCCAGAAAGGAAAAGAAGTGAGTTTTCAGGGGCTGGCTGCAGAATTGCTCCCCAAAGCGCCTGGCTGTAAGATGATTGAACCCAAATATCACAATGTTTGTATTGGTGCGTTTTTCATCACGTGATCCCTTACTTTGTGCCCATGTTCTCGCCAGTGTTCAGGGCTTTTCCAGCATTCAATTATACAGCCCCGTGTTTGTCTCCCACAACCTGTTCGTTTTCCTTCGGGAAATCTTGAAGCCTGAGGAGCCTTCGTTGTCAATGTGTGAGAGGAATGATGCTGCTTCATAGCAGAACTTCACCATCCATCTCCATGTCAAGGGATTTAATTATTTGAATCGACAAACCGATAGGCAAGGACACACATGAGGTGCCAAGTGGATTAAACAGTATTTTCTGAAACATGCCTGCTGAACGCATCTGAGAAGACATCCGTATACACCTGTTTTTTTCACTTGAAGGCATACCCTCTTCCAAGACGTAGGGCACCCACCAAAAGGGCTGACTTGCCCATAGCCCTACTTGTACGTCTTGTACGATATACTTGCCAGCTTCTATATGATGATCTTTTCCACACCTAATGTAAGCGCGATATTGATTACTGTTACTTGAAGAGAGCCTTTTCTATTCATTGCATCTAAAGATGTCCCGTCATTCAAATACATTGTTCCCTTATTAAAAACAGCCTTTGAAACTATGTGTTTCCTTGAGCAAGAGGAGGTATTGAGAAAGGTAAGGATATTTTCAGTTATTTAGCTACACTCAGTTGCCTCTAAGTACAAAACTTGCTTTTAGGCCCAATTTTAGGCCTAAGCAAGCTCCTTCAAAAGTGTTTGCATCGCAATTCTTTTGCCATCCAAAGGGTAGGTTCTTGTGGGAAGGATGCAGTTGTCTCAACTGTGAGTTTCTTGACCATCTTGCGAAACTTTTCTTAGCATTTGTCACAGCTGTTGTCGTCGTCGTCGTCGTGGTGGTGGTGGTGGTGGTGGTTGTGGCGGTTGTTGATGCTGTTCTTGTTGTCGTCGTTGTCGTTGTCGTTGTCGTTGTCGTTCTCGTTCTCGTTCTCGTTCTCGTTGTCGTTGTCGTCGTTGTGGTTGTGGTTGTGGTTGTGGTTGTGGTTGTGGTTGTGGTTGTGGGTGTTGTTGTTGTTGTGGTTGTGGTTGTGGTTGTGGTTGCTGTTGCTGTTGCTGTTGCTGTTGTTGTTGTTGTTGTTGTTGTTGTTGTTGTTGTTGTTGTTGTTGATCTTGTCTTA